TGCCCTCTTCTGCTGGCCATCTTTTGATAGCCATCTTGTCTCCACATGGGGGTGGCCATCTTTGACCACCGGGGGCAGCCATCTTGTGTATTAGAGAGATGGTCAATTTGCATATTACATCTTTATTATATAGGATAATCTAACCTAATAATGGAGTATTATGCAAATTAACCATCACTCAGCTACACAGGTCACGCCCACCAGCCAATCAGAGCAAGTATGCAAATTGACCTAATAAAGATTGTGGTTAATTTGCATAAGTGGAGGGAGGGAGGATTGGAGACTGAAGACAGCATAGAAGGAAGAGGTAGGAAAAGTGGAAAGCAAGGCGGCTGCGGCTGCTGGAGGGAAAGCACTGGCAGCGCATGCGGGGCTGGGCTGGGCTGGGCGAGGTGTGCAGCGGTGGTGCACACAGGGCTGCAAAGGCTGTGGCAGTGGGAGGCAGCAGGGGCAGCAGGCACAGCAGGTCAGGTGGGCAGGGTGAGGCCTGCAGCACCAGTGCACGCAACCCCAGAGGCAGCGGCAGCGGGCACGGCCATAGCCGTGGAGTCAGTGGCAGCAGTGGGCATAGAGGGTTGGGCTTGAGGGGTGAGACTGGTAGCACTTGGCTGTGGACACAGTGGTGGCTATAGCTGTGGGCATGGTGGGACATGTGGGATGGGCGCGCACCCACCCCGCCCCGCCCTAGCAGCCTCACGGGGAGTGTTGGGGGTAGTGGGAGGGAAGCCCACCGGAAGTCTTGCAGGGATATTCCTGCAACAGGTGCCTAGTAATAAAATAATAATAAAATCTTGGGAATTCTCCTAAGGTTTCCAAAGTATATATAGCCAAAGTATCACTCTTTGAAAAGGTCAAGTAAGTATAAATATTCTTTGCATAGAATAACATAGAACTTAGGAGAGAGCTACATGAAAACAAAGTCTGGCTTTATCAATAACTATTTGGGTCTGGGCAAGTTACAAAATATCTCTGTATCTTGGTTTTATCATCTCTAAATAAAGGTGGGTAATACTTATTGTTTATCTTTAATCTTACTCAACAAAATTTTAGGTGTATGAGAAGAAACATTTTGATGGTATTGTTCACTGATATAGCTCACATGCTTATAAAGTATTGAACACTTAATAGTTGCTTAAGAAATATTTGTTTACTAAATGAATAGATATATGAAGCATTTTTCATGCTTCCTAGCACTTAAGTTTTCAACAAATGAATAGTAAACAAAATTTAATTTGGTAGCCCCTCTACTTCTAGGTTTAAGGAAATAGCCATAGCAGACTCAGCCTTCAACTAAAAGAAGTCAAGAGTCCCAGATAATATTTAATGGTATTAGGAGATACCAAAGCAACCAAGGCATGAGGAGATTGGATCAGAAAAAAGAACTACAGAGAAGTGATATGACATTATGCGTCTACACTATCAGTGACTGGTATTAGGCAAGAATGGAGGGAAGGCTGATGATGGAACCTTTGCTAAAAGGCAAAGAATCCAGGATAGTTTATAGAAATCTAAAGTGTGAAAAAACAAACATTAAAGTTTGATGTGCCTGATATACAAAGAATTCCGAAAAACAACAAGCAGAAAGTTATTGAAATGAATAGCAAACACCCTGGAAATCATTTGGTGCTAGGAAGAAAGGTATTGGAGTTTAGGACTAACCAAGAAGGAGGGTTCTTAGGAAATACGGTACTCAGAGCTTTAAAATGAGAATACTACAGGGCTACACCTTAGCAGTGGTAGAAAACTAGAGATAACCAAGCCATACTCAAAATTCATTCCAGCCTCAAGTCAGCTCACATCCTGTTTTAATTAAGGTGAGAGGCCCTTACACTAGCTGCCTAAAAGAGGATAGGGACAATCCTTTCTACAAGGGTGTGATCAAAAGGGCTTATATAGTCCTCATACATAATCCTATAATCCTATACAATAAAGATGCAATATGCAAAATGGCCATCATACAACACACAAGATGGCTGCCCCCAGTGGTCAAAGATGGCCATCCCCATGTGGACACAGCAGGGGAGGGCAGTTGTGGGCTATCAGACCAGCAAGGGAGGGCAGTTTGGAGGGACCAGGCCTGCAGGAGAGGGCAGTTGGGGGCAACCCAGGCCTGCAGGGGAAGGCAGTTATGGGCAACCAGGCCAGTGAGGGAAGGCAATTTGGGGTGACCAGGCCAGCAGGGGAGGGCAGTTGGGAGCAACTAGGCCTATAGGGGAGGACAGTTAAGGGTGACCAGGCCAGAGAGAAGGGCAGTAAGGGGTGACCAAGCCTGCAGGGGAGGGCAGTTAGGAGCAATCGGGCTGGCAGCGGAATGGTTAGGGGGTGATCAGGTTGGCAGGCAGAAGCATTAGGGACAATTAGGCAGGCAAGCAGATGAGCTGTTGGAAGCCAGCAGTCCCAGATTGTGAGACAGATGTCTGACTGCCCTTTAGGGATTGGTCCTAAACGGGCAGACAGACATCCCTCAAGGGGTCCAAGATTGGAGAGAGTGCAGGCTGGGCAGAGGGACACATACACACACCCATGCACAAATTTCATGTACAGAGAACAAAACCACAGGTAACACTTTAAAATTATTGCGATAGCCCAGCCAACTTGGTTCAGTGGTTGAGCATCCAGCTATGAATCAGAAGGTCACCATTCGATTCCTGATAAGGGCTCATGCCCAGGCTGTGGGCTCAATCCTCTTTATGGGGTGTGCAGAAGGCAGCTGATCAATGATTCTCTTTCATCATCAATGTTTCCATCTCACTCTCTCCATTCTTCTCTGAAATCAATAAAAATATATTTAAATAAATTAACTAATAAAATAGTTGTGATTAACATATATATAAGAAAATAGATCATAAGAATCAGAGAGTTGAAATTCAAAAATATAGTCAAATGGATATTCTATAAATAAATATTAAACAATTAAAAGTGAAAATATATTAAAAGACTCAGCAGAAGATAATAAAACAAAAAATAAGTCAGTAGAAAATATCCATGCAAAGTATGGAGAGCAAAGAAGATGGAGGAAAAGAAGCATGCGTGACATATGGAGCATGACTGGAGTCTCATAAGAGGAGGAGAAATAATATGATAGAAGCAATATTTTAAGAGATAATGGCTAAAAATTTTCTAAATCTAATGAAATGTATCAATACATAAATTCAGAAGGTTTTATGAACACAGGATAAATGCAAATATAATCATGCTTGAGAAATCAGAGTCCAAAAAATGCTAAAAGTCCAAGATAAGGAGAGATCTCTTTAAAACAGCCAGAGGAAAAATTCAAATTTCCTTTAAAGAAAGAATGATAAGAATGCTAGGTAAATTCTCAACAGAACTATGGGAACCAAGAAACAATGCAATGATATTTTCAAAGTACTGAAAGAAATAACTGCCAAACTAAGACTCTACACATATTCCATGGCATCTTTCCAGTACATTCCAGGGGAGCATAGCAAGTCAGGCAAAAATCTGTCTTTGCAAATCCTCCCCTCTTTTGCCATTCTTCCTCCAAACTTCTTTCTTCCCCAAACCTTCATTACTCAAGGCCAGCTTTCTTGAGCCTGTCTTTTAGAGATGCCAACCAGTACTCCAGTATGCTTTTCTCCAACTGGAGTAAGTCTCTCTAATATCTCCCCTATTTGGTCTCTCCACTGAGATGTATTTATCGTTTTACATTAGGACAATAATGCTGAAAAAAAGTTCTGTGATCAAAGAAACTTGAGTAACACAGCATACTTTCTGCTATTGAGATTCACAATAAACTGTAGTTTATTGAAATGCCCAGTGAGTCCTGTAGTAAACAAATATATTTATCTTTGTTTATTCAGCATTTTAAAAATAAATTTGTCTACAGAAGTCTTTTTTTTTTCCACATCATGACACTCCTTCATTTATTCTCATATTTATGGAGCATCTAGTATACACCATACACTATTTTCAAGTCTAACAAGGCACAAGCCAGTTCCTGCCCTCTAGGAGTTTTATACTCTTAGTGATAAAGGCAGATAGTAAAGACTAAAATAATATGTGCCTTTAGGTAATAATAAGCACCATGAAGAAAAAAATAGATAGGGTATGGACATAAACAATGACAAATGAGCCTGGAGTATGGTGGTACAGGAATTCACAGATTATAATTTGAGAAATTCAGCCTTTGATTTATACCCATGTGCTAGCCAAAGAGAAGGAACATCTATAATAGGAGTTGATGTTTGTTTGCTATGAAGATACTCTTTCTTTGACTTGGAAGACCAGTGCTACTGATAGAGATCACTGGCCAGGTAAGCAGCAAGCAGTGTCATGGGAGGCATCCAACAAACTCTGAGGTACAGACCCTCAAATTGTTCTAGGTAGTACTTACTCAAAGTACTCTTATGGAAAATTTTCCCTTCTTATAAAATTGGAGGAATGTAATGGTTATACATTTAGTTGAACTTTAAAAATCTCAGCTGTCCAGTTTACCCTACAATATTTATAATTAGTAAAAAATTGACTGGTGTGACTTTTCCTTCCTACAGACATAGAAATCAGATTGCCAGGTTTCATGCTGCACCTCATATCATTAAGCAGGCCAATTCATGCCTTTTTAAATTTACTAATTCACCACACCTATTAGATACTGCTGTATTTGCAGCCCTGTGTTAGGAGCTAGACACTCAAAAAACAAATTGAACTCAAAGGAACATACTAGCACACTGTAGGCAGGTGGTTAGGTACTTTCCCTTGTATTTCCCAGCTTCTGTCTTAAGAAATCAGTAAAATTTCACAAAGAAGAGTTGTAACTCATTTGTTTCTCACTTTCCAAAGCCACAGAGAGTACAGTAAATAAAGGCAGATGCCTAAGATATATTGTAAGTCTTCACTTACATTAAGATATATTGTGAAGTCTTTGGATGGCTTTTAAATATTTAGGGTTATTAATGACAAATACAAAAAACTTTGGCCCATCAATAGAAATAAAAGATCACAAAAACAGAACTTCCCCTTCTCTCCCCACCCCACCCCCCATTCTTCTCACTGGAAAGGGTCTGCTCAGCAATGTAACTTCTTAACAGTCATCAGGCCTAAAGAGCAGATACTTGGAACCCATTAAGACAGAGAAAGCAGTGATGCTAATCCACCACCTGAAGTCATATGATTTATCTGAAGCAGAAGTGGTAAGAAACATTTAGGCCAGGAATCTCAAATTATGAGCAACAAAGAAAGTCATAATGGTTTTACTGATGAGTCATCTGCCATCTGGTTCTCATTAAGAAATGATAAGTCAAGGTACAAATAACAAAGAGTAGAGCAATACCAAAAATGTGAAGCGGACTGTTTTTCTAAAATAACAGAGGAAAGATGACGTATATGAGAAGCTATCACAAGGAGACAAATATATTTAGAACCTCACTGAGCAGGCTGGGCAGAAATAAGTTTTGTGAAACCTAAAATTGCAGAAACCTACATGAAAAGGGAAGAAGACCTGTACTTTAATCAACCAGCAAACTGGAAACCAAGAGATTCAATAGGCAAGTTCCAGTTTACTAATTTATTCTTCCCACTTTACTTGCTGGCTGGACTTGCCATACACAAGGCAGAAAAGTATGTCATTCCAATGAGTAAAGAGAATATTGGATCTCTTCTTGATCACTCCTTACCTGTGAGCCCTCTCCTTTGGCTACCTTACTAGGACAGAGAATTATTCAATGGAATTGTTCTTTATTCAGTGGTATTTCTCATTCTATTGTTCTTGGTTACATTGCAATTTTAGAACTAAATAACACTGGTGTATTGTTTGTACATCTATTTTTTTCTAACAGATGGTAAAATCTTTGAGAGCAGAAATTATAGTGTATTCATCTATGTCTCTCCAGCACCCAGCAAAGTTCTTGGACCAGAACCGGAATTTAAAAATTCTTAATAAATTGAATTTAATTGAACTTTCCCTTGATATTTCATTTGTGGCCCATTGTCCTGTATAAGGTTTTAGTATCTTTTACAAAAACTCTATGAAATCCAATTGAAATTCTAGCTGTACCACTCAAAAACTTAGCTAAAAAAGGGGCAGTGGTTGATATTCATTCATTCTATAAATATTTATTGGATATTCACTATGTGTTACACAGAGTTCTTAATGCTTGGGATATGTTAATAAACAAACTAAGATCCCTGCCATTGCAGAGGTTACATTTAAGTGGGAGGCAGAAACAGAAATTAAATATGATAAGTAGATATGTTAGAAAGTGGTAAGTAAGATAAGTAGGCATGCTAGTAGTTAGAAGATGTTAAATACGATAAGTAGATGCTAGTATGTTAGAAGATGGTAAATATAAGTAGACATGCTAGTATGTAGAAGATGGTAACTGCCATAGAAAGAAGAAAACAGAGTAAGAAAGTTCAGGAATGCCAGGATATAGGACTGAAGGTCAGGCAGTTGCATCATCAGAGTGGACCTCATTGAAAAGGTGAAACTTGGCCAGACCTGAAGGAGGTGATGGAGTCAGCAAAGTGGATATTTGAAAGAAGATGCATCACACTTTCTTCTCTCAACTCAGTAAAGGACTTTCAGCCGGTAATTGCTCCTTGAGACTCAGAAGACATGGTCAGTTTGCCACGCTGCCAGAGCACTTGCTTTTGGCCCACTCAGTGAATTCTGTAAGGTTTTAGTCATTTAATTACTGTTATGTTATGTGGGAGGCTGAACAGGAACAGAGAAAGGAGAAGTTCAGGACTCCAGCACAGAGCAGGGTAGGGGTGGGGAAGAGCAGAGAGAAGAGGGAGCTCCACCCTAATCTGATATCAGGGAAGATTCTGGAATTGTTATGAGAAGCATAAAGTCAGATCTTTCCTATTTCCTAAATGTTTTTCCCTTTAATACATTTAAATGATCTAAATCTGACATTTAAACTCACAGAATCTCTTTGCTGGAACCAAAGACTTTTTTTAACTGGTTTTATTTCCTTCATTCTATATTTCTTTGTCAACCAAAGGAGAGCAATCAAAACTACAATTTCTGGCCCAGTAGAAGGAATTCTAATTTTGTGATTTTAACCCTTGCTCTCTACTGGTCTTATCACTTTCCATCTCTCTTTTCCTTGAAGCTTTTTCAATATAACTAATCAAAATATAGTTAAAATTTATTCATTCAATTAAATATGTTTAATCAGTGATTGACAGGTTCCAAATCCTATGTATCAAGAACACAAAGGTGAGAAGATGTGATCCTATCAAGGGTGAGAAACCATAATCTCTTGGGGTGCTGCTGTTCCCCAGACCAGAACATAATGGCAACAATTCACAAGGAAACAATAACATATAGTTGTCATGCTCTAGAAATGATTCAGTAAAAAATAATAAGCATATTTTTCAACATTCTCTAAAGGGGTAAAACTTCAGAAAACTCATGTTCCTACCAATAATGATTTTACAACTGTCATTATCTTCCCCATAAAACTCTGAAACCCCAGAAACATTTGTGTATCCACTTCTGGTTCCTGTTAGTAAGTCTGTTTCACTGAAACACCTCAACCTCCCACATTTGCCATATTATTACTACACCGCAAGAAAGGAAGAGGATGGAAGCTTCACAAAAATTAATGAAGAGGAACTAGAGACAATAAAGTTAGGTGGGGCCTTGAGGCAGGAACAAAGAACAACCTATAACTGTGGAAGGTAATGTTTGTCAGGTTGTGAAAGACCACAGACCTATTGAATGGTTCATTTGGAGAGCATGCTCTTTCTGCTGTTGACTACCCATTTGGTGTTCATGGTGTGATCTATATAAGACATAGATCAGTTGTCTGAGAGGTAATTTTCCTTCAGCATTATTGGTCTTAACTAAAGAATCTTCCAAAGGTTCCTCAAAAAAATTAAAAGTGGAACTGCTTTATGGATCAGTGATTTCACTTATGGGAATTTATCCAAAGAAACCCAAAATACAAATTTGAAAGAATATATGTATCCTTATGTTCATTGCAACATTATTTACTATTGCCAAGAAACGGAAGCAACCCAAATGCTCATCAATAAATGAGTGCATAAAAAAAGCTGAAGTACATATATACAATGGAATATTACTTGATCATAAAAAAATGAAATCTATCATTTGTGACAGCATAGATAGGTTAATAAGGTATTATGTTAAGTGGGATAAGTCAGTTAGAGAAAGGCAAATACCTCATGATTCCACTTACATATGGAGCATAAAGAATAATATAAATGAACAAACAAAACAGAAATAGACTAAGAGATACAGAGACTGATGTTTGCCAGAGGGGAGAGGGGTTAAGGGGCTAGGTGAAAAGGTGAAGGGGTTGAGAAGTACAGATTGGTAGTTACAAAACAGTCATGGGGATATAAAATACAGCATAGGAGATTTAGTCAATAATATTTTAATAACTTCCTGTAAGTAAGTACAGGAAGCACCAGGAGGAATACTTGGCAAAGTATATGGTTGTCTAACCTCTATGCTATACACCTAAAACTAAAACTAATAAAAAATAGTACTAGTAAATGTAAACTGTAATTGAAAAAAATTAAATTTAAAAATAGGATCTCCTAAAATTCAAATAACAACATCTGCATGGCGTTTGGTGTTGGAGCAGGTAGTTAATGACTGGTGATGGGGTTTCTCTTCTGCATTAGGAATTGCAGATACGTGAGAATGGGAGGAGAAAGGTAATTATATCACAGACTTTCCTTGTTTTATCTATCCAGGAGACTCATTATTCTAAGGAAGATTTAGTCTAGTCTGCTTTTTTGTTGTTGTTCTTGTCACTGGGCCCATCCTGTTCTGTACCCAAAATAAGTATTCCTGGAATTTAAGGTGTCATTTTACCAGCCTGACCACAGGTACCACATTGTTTGCCCTGCTCTGCTCTCCCTTTTAATAATACCTCTCTCTCAAGTCTAATTTCAGTGCCTCAGTCTAAAACCCAGAGAAGAATGAGTCCTCTACCCCTGTATATCTCCCAAAAAGGTAAGACAGACCATAGAAGCAATAAAATGACAGGCCCATTGTTTGAGCCCAATGCAAGGGACTTCCCTTTTTGCATAAGCTGAGTCACACTTTTCCTGTTGTCAACTTGAAGCCTGTCCGTTGATGCACGATAGGGCTATCTTGCTGATGTATGAAGCCAAGCAGGCAGGTTTCCTTGCTTTTGTTTGCCTTACCTTGGACCCTTACCAATTAGAAGCTGTCCACTGGGCAAAAGAGATAAGACATGGTTTATTAAAGCTGGAATACTGTACTGAATGAACTCATTTCTGACCATTTTCGTCTGTTAAAATGCTATCCGAGGATCCTGCCTTGTGCAATCTTACTGATTTTGACACAAGTCTTTTGGGATGTATATGTGCATTTTATTCTTGATATCTGTTCAGTTGACACATGCTTTAAAACCACAGATATCTTTGATTGGCTGACAAATTGTGAAAACAGGAAGTTAAAGGATGGACTCAACTGTGAAACAACCATAATAAGTGAAGCTTTCTGCTTAAGTGCCAAGATGGAAAAGCTGCTATGCTAAACAAACAAAAAATGAAATGATAATATCAACAAACTTCCCGCAGGAATCATGAACAGCCAGAATGTTCTAATTATTATACTTTCAGGGACTTACACCCAATGAAATGGGCTTCAAATCTTAAATCACAATACTGTTGCTAGGCATAATAAATTCTTAAACATTAGGAGGGGTGTGATAATATTTGCTCGTTAGGAAATATTTGTGATGGTACTTTTTTTTTTTTTATAACAATCACCATTCAAACTGAGTTTAAAAAATTGCTATTGTAAATGAATCCTTTCATATTCAGCAAATATCTATTGAGTGCTTAATTAGGGCTATGATAGTCATGGCATATTTCCTTCTTGTTTATCAGCTTTCTCACCAAGATTTTTCTATTTTTTTATTTTATTTTTTTAATATATGTTTTTATTGATTTAAGAGAAACATCAATTATGAGAGAGAATCATTGATTGGCTGCTTCCTGCACATCCCCTACTGGGGATCGAGCCACAACCCTGGCATGTTCCCTGACCAGGAATCAGACGGTGACCTCCTGGTTCATAGGTTGACGCTCAAACACTGAGCCAACCCTGTTGGGCACCAAGATTTTTCTTGTAATTCCTCAAGGTTGCCAAGCATCAGTCCTGTGATAGTCTTCCAGGGAAAATTCTCAAAAGAAAGGTTATCACAGCTTAAAGAATAAAAAATCCTCAAACCAATGGATGTAAAGAACACAAATATTAGACTGAATGAACAAGGCAATTTTTAGACAAATAAATCAGAATTGCTACTTTACTACTATGGAATAAGTTTAGGACTTGCATTACTTTTATAATTTCAGAAATATGAATGGATTTTAAAAATACTTGGATAAATTTTGAGGCAGAACCACTGTGGGTAGTAGAATGGGAAAGGACAGAGAATGCACCACATACTAGTAGATGGTAAATACTATCCATCCGTCTTTCAACAATTTCTATATAAAATGTGCTATATAACCTATGTCATGTGCCATCTATTCAGATAATTAGCTTTAAAAATATGATCAATATCTCTCAAGGTCTAACTCTGCCAGAAAAGAATTAAAAATATCACAATAGGACATTTTAATGTCATCTTGATGAAGAGAAGATAAAGAATTAATAATGGAAACTTAGCAAAATTGATAGTTAGATGATTGACACAATGCATTTACTAACTTATTTAACCTTCAAACACCATTTTAAAAGATTGCTTAAGAAATAAATACTTAGGGGGCAGTTGTAAATTCATTTAAGTCAGCCTTAATTGTATTTTAAAAATCTTGTTTCTAGGCCCTGGCCCGTGTGGCTCAATTGGTTGAGCATTATCCCATGCACCAAAAAGTCACTAATTTGATTCCCAGTCATGGGTTGTGGCTTGATCCCCAGTAGGAGGTGTGCAGGAGGCAGCCGATCAATGTTTCTTTCCTTCTCTCTTCCTCTCTCTAAAACCAATAAAAACATGTTTTGTTTTGTTTTTACAAAATCTGATTTCTAGACATTTAAAATCAAAATTGAAAAAATATATATCTAAATGTCTCTTTTTACAGATAAGGAAACTGAAGCACAAACAAATTGAGTGACTTCCAGAGGTCACAGCATTCATCCATTGAAGAAGCCACACCAAAGCCAGGTCACCTAGACACCTGAGTCTGTTTTACACCTCTGAGCTGATGGGGATGGAGTTGGGGGGTGAAATAAAAAACTGCACTCTAGAATTATCTAGTTATCCTCTATCCCATATTGTGAAATTATTCCATTTGGGGACAGAATCAGTCACTAATTAGAAAATCAGTGCATTAACTTAAACTCAGGAATCTGCCTTAAGAGGTGTTACACATGTCACCATTTTATCACATACATGGAGCATTCCAAAGGTGCTCACTAACCTGGACTACAAAATAATCCCTTTTATTGTCTAATTGAAAGACAAAGAGTAAAGAAAAGTTAAAAGTATAAAGACCCCCTTCAAGGAGAAATCCAGAGAAACTAGCAATAATAATGCAAAATTGTCAACTATGTAATTTCCAAGATTTTTATTTAACTGTAAAGTCAATAACACTATTATTCATTTCAAAGCTACAGATCAATTTGCTCAAGTGTGAACCCTATGGAATACAACCATTTTCTCTTCAGGTGAATGATCCCAGTTTGAATTACCCATACAATCTGATAAAAATACATTATTCCAGATGGACTCCAGTTGCTGGGCAGGTGGAAATTTTTAATTAAAAGAATACAGACTTAATTATCCTAAATTAGGTGGTCAGAGAGAGAACATATGAGAATAGAACTTTACCCCAAGTCATTTATAAGTATCCCAAAGTTTTTTTTAAATTCTTTTAAGAGAAAAAAACTTCAAAGAATGTATAAATTTTGACATGTATTTAAGTAGTGTCAACTTTTACAGTCAAATTTTTATCTATAAACTATAGCTATATTGAATATGTTTATAATACAGTAACTCTCCATTTTCTCATACTGAGTCAACTCAACTATAAACCAACCTCAGGTGTTTTAACTCCCCTTTAGTTGATGGCACAGTATCCAGCCTGATTCCCTTAGGCATAAGTGTAAGCTAAGGGTGTATCAATGGTGTGACTGTGGTGAGTGACATGGAGGTCTGAGCTCTCTGCCCATGCAGCTTACTTGTGATGTCTTATTGCTTGTGAAATATCTGGATATACATTTTTATCTAATGAAAGACTGATGCTGGGCTCATCCTTGGCCAGTCTGACAAAAATTAGCTCATAATTGGCAATTCAATTAGCATCCAATGGTCAAGAATTCCATATCTATAGGACCCAATAACATTCTAGGAGCCATTTTTCAAAAAGCATGTGATTCCCCACTGCAGATGGCACAGCCTTGCTCCAGACTCCCAAAGGCCTGCCTTGAGTGTCTCCCACAAGAGGTTGCCTTCAACTCCAAACCACACCTTTTCCCACCATTGACACCTCCAATACCATCAGGTCTGATGTATCTCACAGCCCAAGGACCTAGAACCACTGCAGCCTAGACCTGATGCAGAGCCCTTTCCACATCTGGTGCCCACTCAAAGCTGACAGCCTTCTGAGTAACCAAGTGTATGAGCTACAGTAACATTCCTGGTTGTAGAAGGTTCCCTGTGTTGGAGATGCAAGATTCAGCAATTTGACTTTTACATTGGGGGACATATCCCACCATGTCCCTGACCTCTGGGCATCCATAACCTCACTGATGTGGCAAGTCTCTGAATCTTCACCTATCAGTGGTTCTCAACCTTTCTAATGCCGCGACCCTTTAGTACAGGTCCTCAGGCTGCGGTGACCCCCAACCATAAAATTATTTTTGTTGCTATTTCATAACTGTAATTTTGCTACTGTTAATTAATCATAATGTAAATATCTATGTTTTCCGATGGTCTCAGGAGACCTTGCTAGCAGTTCTCAACCTGTGAGTACAGACAGGTGTTTACTCTAGGGCAGGACTATGACAGTCATGGCATATTTTCTTCTTGTTTATAAGCCTTATCACCAAGATTTTTCTATTTTTTATTTTATTTTTTAAAAATACATGTTTTTTATTGATTTGAGAGAGAGAAACATCAATTATGAGAGAGAATCATTGATTGGCTGCCTCCTGCACATCCCCTTAGGCTCTACAGCAGCAGGCGGGACCCACAGGTTGAGAACTGCTGCTATAGAGCCTAAGACCATCAGAAAACACAGATATTTACATTATGATTCATTAACAGTAGCAAATTACAGTTATGAAGTAGCAACAAAAATAATTTTATGGTCGGGGGTCACCACAACATGAGGAACTGTATTAAAGGGCCATGGCATTAGAAAGGTTGAGAACCATTGTACCACATTGAGGGATGGCCGACTCTTACTGTAGAGGAGTGGACTATCTTTGTAAATGTTGAACATTCAGGAAGGTCACCAGAGCCAAAATCCACCAGAGGCATCTATCCTGACATCTCCATCTCCAAACCAGACCCTGGCTTCACAATCAGGGCCCATAGGAGACTTGCCTTGACTGGGCATCTAAATATCTATGAGTTTCTAGAACCCTATCAAGTTCTGAATCTGCTCTTCAGTAGTTCACTGTTCCACTATAGGAGGTCAGGGCCTGGTAACAAGCTGCCCAAGCATGTCTCTGGCTTTCACTTTTAGCACAGGCATACCTCATTTTATTAAGCTTGGCTTTATTGTGATTCACAGATGTTGCATGTTTTTTACAAATGGAAACCAAAACCCTCCACCAACAAAAAGATTAGTACTCTCTTTATTGCTACACTCATTTTATTGCTGAGGTCTGGAACCAAACCCACATCTCCTGTACTGTATTCATTTGTTTGTGAATGCCCCCAGGTTTCTCATTATCCACTGCAGAGCATCAGTATATCGATAGCTTAGCAATAACCAGCCAACTCTGCTGTCCTGGCACACCCCATCCCCACGTCTTTCAAATTCCTGAAACTAGATGGTTTTTCTCAGTGGATAGAGCATCGGCCTGCAGACTGAACTGTCCCAGGTTCGATTCTGGTCAAGGGCACATGCCTGGGTTGCAGGCTCAATCCCTGGTAAAGAGCATGCAGGAGGCAATCAATCAGTGATTCTCCCTCATCATTGATGTTTCTATCTTTCTCTCCCTCTCTCTTCCTCTCTGAAATCAATAAAAACATATATATATATATATATATATATATATATATATATATATATATATCCCTGAATTATCACAACTGCAAGAGTGTTCTCCATGGAGATGTTTCTGCAAGACACTGCTGGTGAAATGTTCAGCAGTGGTGCCAGGAGCTGTCTGTGTCCTACATTCCTCCCAGGATGGAGTGCTCCTTGCTTGCTGGGCAGTGAGCAGGCCAGGCCCTAAACCCATCTGACCTCCTGATTGATCAGAACACTTGGTATCAACTATATCAATTCCGATTTACCCAGAAGCAGGTGCCAAGACAGGATTACACGCGCAAGTTATTTATTTGGAGAAACTCCCGTGAATGATAAAGAGAGAGGAAGCAGGCATAGGAAGAGCCTTTAAACCACAAGGAGGAATTGACATCTGTAAAAAGAGAAACAGAAAGTTTCTAATCCTGGCTCTGAGGACCTTTGTCTCTGTAACTTTCCCATTTGGCATCTTTTGCTCACAAAGATGTTAGAAGAAATGACATGGAAAGACCTAACTCAGAGTCCAGACAGAGAGGGCCCTTAATGACTATTCATTTATATGTTCACTGCATAGGAAATATAATCAACAATATTGTAATGACTACATGATGTCAGATGGAAATATCAGGGGAACACTCTAAGGTATATAATTATCTAACCACTATGCTATCCAACTGAAACTAATATAAAACAATATTAAATGTAAAGTATAACTGAACAAATAATTTACAAAAATAAACTTGTGTTTCTCCAATGACTAAATCTACTGAGGGAAAAATATCAGAGAAATGGTCAGCAGACCCCCTAACTATCCTTCAAAGAAACACGGTGCCATTAATTCCATGTGTGCCCAGGTATCCACAGAGGCTGCCACTCGCATTTACAACCCCTGTTTCTCACTAAAGCCAGTGGTAAGCACTTGATATATGAAATAGCACAAGGACTTAAATAGGATGCACTTCTCTCTTACAGACATGACCTCAAAATGTATTTTGTTTCACAATCATTATTAGTAACTAACATGCACCTTTCCTACTTTTAATCGGAATAAAGAAAAATAGGAAAAAATCAATGGAGAGAGAATCCAAGATGGCTGCACAGGTAAATACCTAGCCACAGCCGCACACAACAATTTCAATAAAATACAACTAAAATATAAAATGGACATTACCCAGAACTACAGGAAAGTCGACTGACTGGAAATTCTACAATGAGAAGCAAGGAGAAAACCAGAAGGGAAAGTGGAGGAGCTGTAAAAGCCTAAGGTATGGAGACACATGACGCGCATGAAGAGGATGGAGCCGGAGAGGAGGGGTGGCTGAGTGCCTGTCTGGCATTCCCTAGCAGGAAGGAGATAAAAGCTCCGACTGTGCTGAACCCTAGACCCAACAGCGCTGAACCCCAGTTCTAGGCCAGACCCTGGGGACCCAGGCTCAAACAGAGGGAGCCTGGGTTGTGAGGCGGAATCCCAGGGGAGCTTCGAAAGGCAGAGCCCCCAGAGGCACGCACATTGAGCACAGAGGACGGACTGTTGACTCTGCTGCTACATTGCCCTGGCGGGAAGGAGACAAAGGCTCCAGACTGTGCTGGGCCCCAGTTCCAACTGCTCTGAACCCCAGATCTAGGCCAGACCCCTGGGATCCAGGCTCATACAGAGGGAGCTGGGCGGTAAGGCGGAACCCCAGGGGAGCGGCGAAAGGTGGTCCCAGAGGTGCGCACGTTGCGTGCAGAGAAGGGACAGTTGGCTGTGCCACAGGATTGCCCTGGCAGGAAGGAGACAAAAGCTCCAGACTGCTCTGAACGCCACCTCCAACTCCACTTCCAACTGAACTGAACCCCAGTTCCAGGCTCATTGAGGGAGAGCCTAGACTGTTTGGTAGCAGGCAAAAATTGAGGGCACCTTTCTCTCAGAGGTGCTTGCAGCGAGTACTGAAGGACCCTGGGAAATACTGAGACTCAGGAGCCACATAGGGTGGGGCTGAGGGAAGCCAGGGTTCCACCCTGAAACCCCACCCCATCCAAGCAGAACACAGAGACTTTTAAGGCTACCAACTCAGGGA